CTCGCCGCAGTAGATCAGGTCAAGCTAGGCCAGTCGTCCACTGTAAAACAGTTCCAGAGACTGTTAGGTCTCATGGCAGCTGCGTCCAACGTGATACCTTTTGGCCTCCTGCACATGAGACCGTTACAGTGGTGGCTCAGAACCAGGGGATTCTCCCCGAGGGGAAATCCGTTTCGCATGATCATGAGTTCGCGACGATGTCTTCGCGCCCTGGTTATGTGGAAAGATCCTCGGTTTCTGTCCCAAGGCCCGGTGTTGGGGGCTCCTTGTCGTCGCGTTATGCTAACGACAGATGCCTCTCTCACGGGGTGGGGGGCGATCATGAGTGGTCGCCCAGCTCGGGGTCTGTGGGAGGACCATCACCGTCTATGGCACATAAATTGTCTAGAGATGTTGGCAGTGTTTCAGGCTCTGAAACACTTCCTCCCAGACCTAAGGGGCCACCATGTTCTTGTTCGAACAGACAACACATCGGTGGTCTCTTATATCAACCATCAGGGGGGTCTGCGTTCTCGCCCACTTTACAAACTGGCACGTCAGATTCTCCTATGGTCCCAGGGGAGAATTCTTTCTTTGAGAGCTATTTATCTCCCAGGGTACTTAAATCAGGGGACAGACATCCTGTCAAGGCAGGGGCCGAGGCCCGGGGAATGGAGTATTCACCCCGAGGTGGTGGAGCTCCTATGGGAACATTTCGGTCGTGCCGAGGTAGACCTATTTGCTTCCAGAGAGACATCACATTGTCCACTGTGGTTCTCTCTCAGCCTGCCAGCCCCACTGGGGTTGGATGCGATGGTACATCCGTGGCCGAGGTCACGTCTGTATGCTTTTCCCCCGATCGCTCTGCTCCCGGGAGTTCTGGAGAGGGTTCGCCGGGACGGGCTCAGTCTTCTGCTAATAGCCCCGTTCTGGCCGGCCCGAGTATGGTTTGCGGACCTAGTGTCTCTCCTCGACGGCTCTCCCCTAGAGATACCGATCAGGAGAGATCTACTCTCTCAGGCGAGTGGGTCGATCTTTCACCGCCGCCCAGAACTATGGAGGCTGTGGGCTTGGCCTCTGAGGGGGCCCAGCTCATAGATTCTGGTCTCTCGACTGAGGTCGTTGAGACCATCCTCCAATCCAGAGCTCCCGCCACAAGGAAGTTATATGCCGCGAGGTGGAAACTTTTCACCTCTTGGTGTGGAGAGCGCCAGCAGGACCCAGTTAACTGCCCGGTTGGTACAGTGCTGGATTTCCTGCAGGACCGTCTCTCCACAGGGTTATCCCACTCCACACTGAAGGTGTACGTGGCGGCCTTAGCTGCTTACCACAACCCTTCGAGCGGAGGTTCTCTCGGGAGACACCCACTTATATCTCGCTTCCTTCGTGGCGCCTTGAGGCTGAGGCCTGCAGTTCGCACGAGGGTACCAGCTTGGGATCTGGCCATCGTCTTGGAAGGTCTCTCCCTAGCTCCTTTCGAGCCCATCGAGGAAGTTTCGGAAAAGTTCCTTACACTAAAGACTATCCTTCTTCTTGCTATCTCGTCTCTAAAAAGAATTGGAGATATTAAAGCACTTTCGGTGGCTCCCTCGTGCCTGGAATTTGCTCCTGGTATGGTAAAAGCTTTTCTCTGTCCGAGACCAGGGTATGTTCCTAAGGTACCAACCACTTCGGTTAGACCTATAGTACTGCAGGCTTTCTGTCCTCCGCCTTTTTTGACGTCAGACCAGGAGAAAATGAATTTGCTGTGTCCCGTTAGGGCTTTAGATGCGTATGTCCACAGAGCTGCCCTGTGGAGGAAATCAGAACAATTGTTTGTCTGTTTTGGGTCACCTAAGAAGGGGTGTCCAGCATCTAAGCAAAGGATGAGCAAGTGGGTGGTCGAGGCCATCTCGCTTGCTTACGGTTCGGCCCATCAGCCTTCACCTTTGGCTGTAAGGGCTCATTCCACCCGGAGTATGGCTGCTTCTACAGCTCTTCTTTCAGGAGCTTCTCTTCAGGACGTTTGTGATGCGGCAGGCTGGTCCTCACCGCACACTTTCGTCAGATTTTATTCCCTTGACCTTAGCTCCACTCCTGGGGCTCAAGTTCTCTCGTCGGCTTGTGTCTCCTTATGACACACGACGGGGATTTGGTCGTATGGGGATGTGGGTATTGCGTTCCCACTGCGATTACACGCAGCGGTAGTCCCTGAAGGGGAACGTCCCGGGTTACGTATGTAACCCTAGTTCCCCGAAGGGACGGACGCTGCGTGTCCTGCCATACTCCCGGCATCCCCTTGGATCGCTTGCTTCAGTAACATTAGAAGCTGGTGGCTTGTGTATTCAGGGGATATTTATAGCTTCCTGGTCGGTGACGTCACTCGCTGTGACGCTCCATTGACTGATTTCATTCATGCTTCAGACGCGCTACGCTGGGGGGCGTTCCCACTGCGATTACACGCAGCGTCCGTCCCTTCGGGGAACTAGGGTTACATACAGGGCTTGACATTAACACCCGCCAACCCGCCAAATGCGGGTGGATTTTGCTCGTGGCGGGTAACACAGTCACTTCAACTAGCCACTTTGGCGGGTTGAATAATTGTAGTCTTTTCAAAAGGCATCTGAAGCGCACTGGCTGCGTGGCGTGCGCGTCTCCGCTGCGTGGTGTGTCCGTTTTTATTTCGGCTCCCATGTTAACAGGTTAGAACTTGCACACTGCCTGCGTGACGCGCGTCTCGAGCCGCGCCGAAAACGCGTGCATGCTAGAAAAAAAACCGACGCCTATTTCCCATGCGACACGCAAGCCTGTTGGAAGCGTTTCCAGGCTAAATAGAATAGGAAAATATGTCATGTTGACACGAACACATATTAATAAATGGCATTTTTATGTTTGAAAGTCCATAGGTTTTGGCAAATGCAGATATAATTTAAAAAAAAAATCAAATATTGCACCTGTCAATACAGAACGAAATATTCTTATAGCCTATTTTGCCGTCTATGCTGCAACGCCCGAATCCCGAGATAGCCCTCCATGTACGTTACCAGCAGACACCAGTCAGACACGTTTCTGCTGTGCAAAGACACAGAAAACGCAACTTGTAACAAAGAATTTCCCATCGGGGCTCAATAAAGTAATTCTGATTCTGATATTTAAACAGACAGTGTTTCTAATGCTAAAGGTTTTTTCAGTTTATTTTTTTATATTTTTTATTAATCTTCTACATCCATGCACCACTTTTATTATGCAAGAAGCTATGTCTTCATCTTAATACATGGTTTTATAGGAGCTTTAAAGGAGCTTTACACACAACCTTATCAGAGCTAATGATAATGACCTGTATTGTTATACCTAGTCTTGATTTGCGTGTGTACAGTGGTTTTACATTTAAAAGGGTTGTAAATCTAGTTCAAGTAAATTTTAGCACGCCATAGTCAACTTTAATCAGGTAATTTCACAACAACAAAAATGTGGCTAGTAAAAATGCTGTGTGGCTAGTAACTTTGGAAAACCACTAGCCACATTGGCTAGTGAGCAAAAAAGTTAATGTCAAGCCCTGGTTACATACGTAACCCGGGACGTTTTCACTCTATAGCGGTTGACCAGAGCACTGCAATTATTTCTTACTTAAACTACAATCAAATGGATTTCCCCACACATTTCGCGTCAGTCCTCTGCGTGGCATTTTATTCTTTTCTGCGCACCGCCGCTTCAGAAGTGCGCGGCCGCGCACGCGCGCAGCTTAGAGGGAACATTGCGTGGGAGTTATTTTGATTAAAGATTACAAGGGCACGTTAATTTGAGTTTTTTAAATGTGCACGGGTAAATCATTTATAATAAATACAGCAATATCCCATTTAAAAAGAGTAGTCCATTTTGATTTCATGGTAAACGAATTCGAGTTCACCCAGAAATTATAATTATGTCATCATTTACTCACCCTCATGTCGTTCCACACTAGAGTTGGGTCAGGGTGATTGACTAGTTGTCCAACCAACTGATGTGAAGTCGATTAATTGTGGTTTGTGTGAGAAGGATTTTAGCTCTAGGCTAACGAACTAAGTTTAGCGCTAAGCCCTCACGAGTGTGACATTGAAGCGCGTCATTCCGCCTCAGAGATGAGCATGAAGCCATTTTCGGAGGACCTAAAGAGTTTTGTATGGGTTAAATGGTAAATGTTTTTCTAACCTATTGTTGTAAGTGTCCGTGTGTCTACACCACGAGTCCATAACAGCGGTTTAAAGAATCGAAGCTTACTTACAAACACGGACCAATCAAGTTCGATTACCTCAGTAACATACTTAAAAAAAAAAAAAAAGTATATTACACAATATAGGTTATACTGTATAGGCTATATTATTTTTTAGATATTAATTATAATTATGATGTTATCATTCCAGATATCTTCACTGATTATAAAAGGTATCTACTTTTACAAATGTTTAACAGACTACACCAGACTGGTTATGAAAATTTGTTGTTTTGACATGTCTGTCTAAAACCTTGAGCTATACATTTTTCTGTGAAACTGTGGCTTTTCGAGCTATAAAAAATATTCAAGACTCCTCCTCAAACCCTCTGTGACACAATCCAGTGAGATTTGTCTGGGATTGAGAAGTCAGTTTGGGATTATCTTTGCTGTCTGATTAAAGGTCAGAATGCAACTAATCAGGTTTCCATGACATCCCATAAAGTGGCTCTTATAATAGACCAGACTGCAGGAAAAAAGCCTGTTATGAACATGGGGCATTTTTGTAAGCGGTTGGCATTCCTGCAATAGAACAAGAGCTTGGCACAGGAGGACTGCCATGGAAACAGTTTATGTAACTGAAGGTATTTAGATCAACAACTGTGCTCACAATATCCTAGTCGGATATCAAGATTTACTATTTCAGTAAATGCACAGCTGCAACATCAGAAAATATAATTATCTCACTCTAAAATAGTGTTGGGTCCACAATCTCATTTGGCTAAAGTCCATCCCAAAACAATCCCAGAAATCAAATTTGCTTACAGATCTGCATTCTTTGTTTCCCTCTTAGGTGTTGAATCTGTTTCTGGCCCTGTTGTTGAGCTCCTTCAGCTCTGATAACCTGTCTGCGCCCGATGAGGACGGAGAAATGAACAACCTCCAGATAGCAATCGCTCGAATCCACTGTGGTTTCTCTTGGCTGCTGAACGCCATCAAAGACCTCTGCAACGGGAACCTGGCAGGGCACAGACAGAAGGCCAAGGAGGTGCCGGCGCCCCTGAAGGAGAACCATGCTGAGTGCAACGGCGGTTTGGGAAGTTTAGGGCGGTATGAAGAGAAGTGCGTTATTCCAGAAGGACAGGACAGTTACATGACCAATCCCAACCTCACCATCTGTGTGCCCATCGCACCAGGAGAATCAGACGTGGAATTTCCTGAGGAGGAGGAGGATGATGAAGACACAGTGTCATCAGAGGATGAAGAGCAGAAACCGGTGAGAGGTTATGAGAGGTGATTTATTAGTATTAGTGTTGGGTTTAATTTGGTTCATTAGGTTCTTGAGGTTGTGTAATCTGATTCACGAGCAAATGATTCATAAGAGTCGGATCTTTTTAATGGATTCGGCAAAACACTCTTGGTTGGTTAATTCGTTTTCTGATCCGCTCAGTGTTATTTTTGTATTATTGAGATACAAAAGTTGAAGTAATTTTGTGTATTTTGTAATTTTTTGTAGTTTTATTTTTTAAATATGCTTAATATAGTTTTTTTACTATTCAGTTTGAGTTATCTAAAATGAGAAATGGAGGCTTTATTTTTAGATGATATTTAAATTTTAGTTTTGGTTATCTTTAATAACCCTGGATCTAACTTAAAGTTTTCTTTATAATTAATGAGTAGCCTATTAATTAATCATTTAAATAATTAAAAAAATACTTGACAAAAGTCTTTGTTTTTTGGGACCAACTATTTTTGCATCCTTAAATTGTTAATGGAATTGTTTATTATGAAACCGGAATCATTTCCATTTTAGTTCTGTGAAATGGAACTGAAATTCAAAACCATTATTTGGATTATGATCCCTAATTAGTAGCTTATACATCTGAACTTTTAAGAAATTACACCAAAATGTTTTAATTGGTATCACAAATGTGGACTTAACAATGGACAAGCAAGTTATTTCGCATGCTGATGCCATCTAACTTGCTTTTACACTGTTTAAATTCAAATGTCTGGATTTCTAAGAAAACCAAATGCATTAATGGCATCCGGACCAGTTAGATATATAACCATAAATCCTCCATATACTGCATATAATAGTTCATTTGTCTATCCCTATTGTGAGTGGCTGGGAGCTCAAACGAGTGAGTGGTGTCAGAGGTCAGAGAGATGATATGATATAACACGTGTGAGGAAGCGAGCCAGTGGCCGTATAGGTGGGGGGGCATCCAGATTCATAAGCTGATAAGCTGCAAAGCAGACAAGGTGAACCCACCAGGCATGCCATACATTATTTATTATATAAGAGAAACGGGCTCCGGAGAGGAGCACAGGAATGTGTATATAAAATGGTGGAATGGTGGACCAAAAAAGTACCACCAAAAGTATAGTCCATTCAACAGTGTTATATTTCAGACGACAGCTTTGTTAGGAACTGAAATTTAGTCGTTATTTACTCTAGGTATTTGCTGTACCTCTCAAATCTCAATCTGTTCTAATATGGTGTATCAAGATTATGTGGCATTATTGTCCTGCTGACACATCTTTTTGTGACTTATTAGAATTGTAAGTTTCACAACACTGGCTGGAAAGATTGCTTGAGGACTTTATTGATACTTGCAAGCAAAGTCTATGAGACCACAAGATGCCATTTGGAACAAGGCCTTTAAAGATCTGTTGTTTAAATGCCCCTGTTATGCTTTTTCAGATTTTACCTTTCATATAGTGTGTAATATATAGCTGTTTGTGAATGTAAAAGATCTGCAAAGTTTTACAGATCAAAGTGCAGGATAAGTGGAGTTATTGTCTCCCAAAAGAATGAACAGATTTTGAACAGCTGAAACGAGTCGTCGGTAATTCCAGTCTTACTTCCTGCATGGACATAGGTTTGTAAACAATTTGCATAAAGTCAGCCTATGGTCTTCATTGGCTGCCCGTGAATCACGTCTACTTTGACCCGCCCTCAAACACTGTAGACTGGAAGAGTTTGGTTTGTGTTGTCACCATGTTTAAAAATACGTGCTAAGCAGCTGACCAAACACAACAGACTATGCCATCTGACCAATCAGAGCAGAGTAGGCTCTCAGATAGGAGGGGTTTAGAGAGAATGAATCCTTGATTATTCCGTTACAGACACTGTGAGAAAAAGGCTGATGCTGCAATGTATATTAAGAGAAAGTGTTTTTGACCTTGAATGCATAAACCTATTGTAGGAGACTCCAAAACAAAATTAAGAGCCTTTAAAATAGTATAACAGGGGCACTGTAAGTATGATACGAACTTTGACAATGGCAATAAGACATATGATAAAACACAGCAATATTTGCTCAAGAAATAAATTAGTATTAACTAGATGTTTACATTTTCTGAAGGAACCCGTGTTGTGGGTGCTTTGTGTTGACAGAGGTGTTCTGAGTGGTGATTTCTTCGTCAAAAGAGTTTAAGTCTATGCAACAAGTTTTCCCATTTGATTCTTCTGTTGTTGTCTTGCTTTGTAAAGTAGTTATAGCCATAGACAGTATAAGAAGTGGACAGAGCCATCTCATTGGAACTCAGTTGAGACAGTTGAAGCCGATTTTTAGCGATTTTTGAGCACTTCCGTTCCTGACGCGCAGACTCAAACCGACTCAAACTAAGCTTGATGACGTGAGCAACCTGTCTGACAGACGTTAATCTTCTAGTAGCTGTGCGTGAAAATGGCCAACGTTAATCTTGCAGAGACGGGGAACTTGAGCAAAGAGTTCTTTGGCGTGAGTGAGCAGGAGTAAGTATTCCGTTGCTTTTATGGACTCATTATCTATGGGCTTCTCCCTTGACGGGACGTCCCCCCGATTGCCTGCGAGCTTCTCCTCCTGTCTGTACGGTAATTTCTGTACAGCGCGACAGAGAGTCGAGTGGTTATGACGCAATCGTTAGCCTATTTTTACTAAATCTGTTTCTACGGGGCCATGATGTAACATAGAAGGTAATGGAGCCCTTTATACATTGTCGTGTTTCTTTAGAAATAAATAATGGACAAATGGAGTCTTTAAACGCCTCAGATGTAAAGTTATTCGCTGTCAAAGTGACGCCAAAATGAATGGGAGTCAATGGAAATGCTAACGCAAGTGAAGTTCTGCTACAAGATGGCGGCACCCGGCCGGCTTCAACTTCCGGTCGATGGATTACCCCCTTGGTTATAGCACGCACTCCTCAGCAAGGAGGCTCATCCAATCAGAGCCAGAATTATTCTAAATATATATATATATATTTTTTTTTTTTTTTCAAAACGCAGAGATTTTGGAAATCTGTAGAAATCTAGGACAAGTATAGACTCTCTTGACAGAATTAATGATGTTTGAATAGCTTGAACTTGTACTGTGCTTTAGTATAAATTTAGCCTATATATGAATTTCATAGTTAAAAGATTGTGATCTTATTCCTAAATGACAAAGGATTCGCCTGTGTCTACTAAACCTTTGACAAAATCACACTGGACAAGTCAAATCTGCTGCCGCTGACCCAGAGAAAGCAGTTATCATGAAAAAGCTTCACAAACTCTTTTCAGGCACATGGTATCATTAATAATCCTATTATCGCAGAAGTACTGGGATAAACGTTTATAAACATTAGCTTCGGAAGGAATAAAAAAAAAAGAGTAAATCACCTTTATTATAACATGGCGCTTCAAATAACGATTGCATCGATTACACGGTTAGTAACTGTTAAAAAATTTATTTGTCATTAAATCATTCATTCAAAAGATTGTTACAAAAAAGAACACAGCTAATTCATCCAGTAATGAAACAAGTGAATTATTTATGAATGAGTCTTTGAATCATTCATTGCATTAAAAGCATCTCAGGATGAACTTCCTGGAATTGTTTGGTTGCAAACTTCTTCCAAAACCTTTTTGACGTCTTAAGACACAAAATTAAGAGTAATCCAGCCTCTCTCTCTCACACACACACGTACACACACACATTCGCTCGCCTCGTAATGTGGGATTACGTAAGCAGCACTATTGGATTGTGCTGGCACCTTTGGACCAGTAATCTCTGTAAATCATTTTAAATATGTTGCCATTACATGGAGGGAAAATCTCATCAAAATTGTATTATGAAGGCCCACTGCCTACATAGAGAAAGAAACAAGGAGAATGACTGTGTATTCAGACAGCTTTAGAACAGCTCTCTCTTGCCATCTCAGATTATACTGGAGGTTACTGACCTTGACTTGTGCGCTCGTGGATTAGATGCATATGCTAGTATCGCGCCATATGTATCTTGGGATGCATGTGTTCTATTAGCTGTCTGTGTTTTCCATGCCAAACCCAGAGATTTTTTCAATCAGCGTTGATTTCCTGGCTTATATGTGCAAAGATACACTGAATTGACAGATATAATACCAGTATATTAGCCTGGTTAAAACCAGACCATTCTCAGTTGTAACTGAGTTATGGTCTGGCAAAGCGTCATAGACAAATCATTTCCAGAGGGGCGTCACCAACGGACGTCGCGGATAGACCTAAACCCAATCAGAACGATGAAGGAGAGGACGTATGCAGAGCGGCGGAGAAACATCTCCGAGTGGTGTTCTTTGCTCGGTTTTTAACAAAAATTAAACGTTCAAATCGCTTAAAACAGACGCGATAGCTGATTCGAACGAGTGATGTTCGACGGCGGCATCCATCTTTGTAATGCAGGCTACAAAATCTGCTTCAAAATCCCAGCGCTGTTGTCATCGTGTAAAGCCCGCCCCAACATTTCTGATTGGTGCCTCGATTTCGACGGATTGGAAATGGGCTTGAATGAGCTCTAGTTTGCCAGACTAACTTTCAGAGCAAATCTAAATTTGCCGGAAGTTGTTTGGGTTTACCCAGGCTACCAGTATATATGAGGCCAAGTAATTAAATGGTAGCATAATTATGCATCGCATTAAGCATTAGACGAAGAATGAACAGACAGAGGGAATATAATGTAGAAATTCAAAACTGAGATGGTTCATAAGTTACCCTGTCCGTTCAAGCACACAGACATACAGTAATATATCCAATCAGTAGGTCCAGCATGGTTTTAAGATAATCTGAGCCAAACTTGAAAAGAACTGGACATAATTTGTTGGGTGAAGTAGCACTAGGTGGATCGGTTTCCAAACTTCTCAGGAACACTCAGAACATAATGCTAAAGACCCCCACAAAGTTGTGTTTTAAAGTAACACCAGGTAACTTTTCAACCTTCATAATATACTTCCACGTCTCTTGTGATGGTACATCGACTTACAATAGGTTGAATGACACGTCTGCCATAGCCTGACGGGGTCTGTAGCGTTTTTAATCGTACTTTTAAACTTCGGGTTTCGGGTAGTAACCGGCGAACAAAGAGAACTACAAAATTCGACTGCTTTACGGCATATACGTCACTTTCACCACCACCCCCACTTCCTTAAAATCGGACGTGCGAGCCAAATGTTATAGTCGTGGCCGAAGCAGCACAGAAAAACAAGAAAGCAAAGGTTTTATCGGAGCAAAGCAAAAAGAGAAAAAGAGAAAGTGATTGCATTAAACAGTGGCGTCATGCCCATTCAAAGTGGGGGGGCACGTGCCCCCTCAGATTTTTCCTCCCTAGGGTGACCAGAAGTCCCGAAAAATTCGGGACAGTCCCGAAATCTAAGCTGTTGTCCCGAATCCCGAAACCGGCCTTAATTGTCCCGAAAATTATACTAAAGCAAAATCTTGATATAAAATATTAAAAACTGTCCGTGGAAGTTGAGTCGTCCTGCAGCCAGCCCCTTCCAATTGCAGCAGCCGCAGCAACGAGGACAGTGAATGTGCAGGCAGCCAGTCTAAACTTCGTCAGTCATTTGCTCTTGACGCGCGAATGGATTCAAAGTGTTCACGCGTAGGCTATAACTAGACGCGGTAGGCGCGAATTTGACGCGCTATTCGCGTCTGGTGTGAACGCAGCATCAAAGGAGTGATTGATTGGTCGCGTCACTGTGTGCAAAAAAAAAACTTCGTCCGGGCCTTATAATGTCTGATGTCGGGTTAGGCCTACACAAAGCAAATCATCTACAAAATAATTTAGTTTTCCTATTTAATGACCGACAATTTAGTTGTAATAATTATTTTGCCATAAGGCTTATTACCGTTAGGCTATAGTCTGAAAGGTCTGATTTAGCCTACACACTGTTACAACAGTAACACATTTTTTTTTCACAATGACATATGAGTTCATGATTTTAATGGTTTTTTTTTTGGCAGACTAAAGACTAATGACAGACTTTGATCTTTGAATTAAAAAATATGTTTGGTTCAGGTTTGAAATTCATTATCTTTTAATGTAGTCTAATATCATAGTAGGACTACCCCCCAAATCCCTACAGCATAGTTGTTATACAGATCGCTATACATATTGCATTTGATTTGATTACTTTTTTACATTTCTGTCAAATATTAACCATTTTCAAATAAACGGGGTAGTGTTAACCTTATTCAGCACTGAAATCTGTGAAACTTCTTTCAAAGTCCTTCATCACATATTAATATTAAAATAACTTAATTTTAGAGCATCACAAAGTCAGACCTCAGCACCTTTATGTAGGCTACCTTTAATGTAAGATCGTTCTTAGGTCACATACCAATTTAAAATCATAACATAAAAACTGCAATGGTACTGTTTTTTAAAATCATGTGTAGTAGGCCTAAGTGTACAGTAAGTGTGTGTGTAAACATGCTTTGATGAAGTAGACTTCAAAAGCTTTTGAATTTGAGCTTACAGTTCTTTCATCAAACTGTCTTTTACTTAAACTTACAAAATAGATACTTTAACTTAGTCCTCAGAATCAGATAGAGGAGTGTTGCTGCTAGCTCCGTTAAGGTATTTCTGTCCCTCCCAAACTGCATTGAAATGGTATGTTTAGCAGCCAGAATTTAGAAATTTTTCAGGGGGAGAAACCCCCTGACCCCTCCTAACATGATCCATATCACCCGTCAGAAAACAATTGCAACGTCTCAGATTGTGCCCCCCGCCAGAATTTTGGCTTGCATGACGCCCCTGGCGTTAAAGGCAGAACGAGGATCAACATTGGGCCAGCATTTTCTCGCTGGCGTGAGCTGAAGGAGGAGGAGGGGTGCCCGACCGATGCGGACTTGAAAAAAAAAAAAAAAATCAAATGAAAGCCTATGTCTAAACGGCGACAGTAGCAGAGGTCTAGAGGACAATACTGTTTCCCAACTGTAGGGGGACCCCACCCCGAGAGCAAAAGTAACCTGAAGTTACTTTAAAGGGGTCCTATTATGCCCTTTTACGAAGTCTTGATTTTGCTTTTGGGGTGTACTAGAAAATGCTTCCATGCTTGATTGTTGATAAAACACATTATTTTTCACATATTTTACATTATTAAAACTTTCTCCCCAGTCTGTCCCGAACAAGTCGTTTTCGATGAAGCCTCTCCTTCCGAAATACGAAATGTGTTGTGATTAGCATGTGTTCAGGAAATGTTCCGAACTGGGATAATTCATCCATAACTGCGAGCCATAACTGCGAGCTCTATTCTAGTGTAAATATAAAGGATAGCAGCAATTTGTAACCAATTCGAGTCCGATTCAGACCCTGACAATGTTAACAAACAAGAGGATCATCCAGAAAGGATTTCATGCACGGACTTTGCAATGCACGGATTTCACAGGACGTTTCAGAGTGGTATGTTTTTCTTATACATTATAGGTGTGATGTTATCCACCATTTAATCATTTGTCATTTTTAATCATTTTTAATCAATTTGTCGGAAAACTAAAAGCAATCAATCACAAAAACATGGTTAATTTCCTAAGAGGTGGTGAACAGCCTTACAAGAGCGAGAGCTTACAAAAGCTATAGTAAACAACACTATATCAACACTAACGTTGGCTAGCAGGAGAGCGTAGCAATAACATAAAACTCATAATTGGAACTGTTAATAGAAAATGCAACTAAAAATAATAAGACATACTTGCAAGTTGTGATCCAACAACAGATTGTCCTGATAAAGTGGAAACTGTTCCATTTCAGAAGAAGCTTTTGTGTGTAGCCTGCGTTGTGGTTCTGGAAGCTGTTCTCCGTAAAATGTGCAGAACATTTTTAGAATGATTTCTGAAGGATCATGTGACACTGAAGACTGGAGTAATGATGCTGAAAATTCAGCTTTGATCACAGGAATAAATTACATTTTAAAATATATTGCAATAGAGAAAAATGTATTTTAAACTGTACTAATGTTTCACAATGTTACTATATTTGTGATCAAATAAATGCAGCCTTGGTGAGCAGAAGAGTCTTCTTTTAAACACATTAAAACTGACAGTGGATTTGAATGGTATCTGTAATGGTTGATAAAATTCTAATGAAAACTCAGTGCAAGCTTTGCTGCCTTGTTCAACAGGAAGTCATCAGCCTCTCTGAAGGAAGTACCGTGGACCTGAGGAAGCCTGGGGAGGATGAGGAGGAATATTCTGAGATGGCAGAAGATGTCATGGATCCAGAAGAGTGTTTCCCTGAGTGTAAGCAGATAAAATATATATAAAATATTTGTTCTCCTGTGAACATGGCACTATGCATGGTACAGGACCTGATCAGAATAATCTCTCTGTATCTCTCCAGTCTGTATGCAGCACTGCAAGTGTTGTAATATAAACACAACCAGAGGTTTGGGACAGATGTGGTGGAGGTTGAGGAAGACGTGCTATCAGATTGTAGAGCACAGCTGGTTCGAGACCTTCATCATCTTCATGATCCTCCTCAGTAGTGGAGCTCTGGTGAGGAACAAAGCTGATTGGTGAACTTTAACCATTCGTTTACCGTTTACATCAAAGCAAAATCCATCTTCCAAACCGTGTTTTGTTCATCGACTGCTAGAGCGCCAAAAGTTACACAGGTTACGTTTAAATTGGTCCATATTGTGATTAAATGTGTAGCTAGATTAATCAGAATCAAGTTTCCTGTTCTTATTGTGTAATGATATTCTTCTTCTGACAGGCGTTTGAAGACATTTACATAGAACAGCGGAAGGTGGTGAAGGTGATGTTGGAATATGCGGACAAGGTGTTCAGCTACATCTTTGTGCTGGAGATGTTTCTGAAGTGGATCGCGTACGGCTTTAAGAAATACTTCACCAATTACTGGTGCTGGCTGGACTTCCTGATTGTGGATGTGAGTAAAATCGGTTCTTTTATGAACTGGTCACTGAAAGGGCCTTTGAGAAACCTAAAATGGTTCTTCTATGGCATCGCTGTGAAAAACCCCTTTGGAACCTTTATTTTTTAGAGATTACACTATATTAGTATTAGTATAATATTTAGTGTAACAATATATTCTGTTAGTATAAAGGGCCATGAATGTAAATCTAGATATATTCTAACTGGTCCAACATGAAGAATCATTAATTTTGCAGATTTTTGAAGGCTGTTTGTGACAGTGATTTTACCACAAATAATATGAAACGTAGTGTCCTTAATCATGGAAAAACACAACACTTTTATAAAAACACCAATGTTCAATAAATAGTTTGATGTATTATTGACTGGAATAAATAATTCTTCCACAAATAATATCATTATTCTTACTGTAGGCTGCTACATTTGGAAAACAATAGAGTAACTCGTCGCATATAGATGTGCAAATTTAAGATTTAGAGTTTGAGCTATCAATGACATTAGAGATATAGGGCCAGATTTACTTATTTCCCATAAAAGCACTGATGGGAGTGGTAAGTTTTTGCGCGTGATGTACTGATATCGTGCAAGTTAATGAACATGGACGCAACTGTATCATTTCCATAGTGACCAACGCAAACTAGCAATTAGCTTCTGGTTTAAGACATGCTTTTTTTGGGAGGTAAATAATGGCCCACATAGATATCCATAATAAAGGCTAGATGTCTTACGGCGGAGTCTCTATCGTCATCACCGGCGGCCATCTTGTCACAGGCAAGCTTTCTGGCGGGCTCTGTGGTACCTGATGTAAGATGAGTGATACGAACACAAATACTCTTATCTCGTTGAAATCTTGACGGATTTCCAAACGGTTTGGTTTCTTACAAACGTTATTAACGTGGCTATAATTCTGGATGATTATTTATTTATACACTATAAGTGTATAACTAAGTATGCAGTGTCATAACTACATCTCTGAAGTTTATAACAAACCAAACCGTTTGAAAATCGGTAGAAAATTGAGCAAGTTATGGTTATTTAAAAAGTACATGCACCATTAAAACACAAAGTTACGAGTGAGCGAGCTGCCTGTGACAAGATGGCCGCCAGGTGCGGACGCCGACCTCCATTGGCCAGCAGCTCGGACGAGACATCTAGCCTTTATTATGGATATCTATGATGGCCCAAATACCAGTAAATTGACTAGCGCAAACCTTAGTAAATAACCTTGCATGATTTTTTTAAATGCTCTCCTCCCATAAATTTAGCGTCTGAAAGGGAAACTCCTACAAATGCATATGCAATAAGGTCAGCCGCAAACATTACCCTTTTCAGTGCTAATTTTTTACTGCGTGTCTTAAGTAAATCCTGACAGTAATTTTTTAACGCCAAAAGAGGGTTTGCGGTGGCGCAAGCTGTTAGTAAATCTGCCCTATAGTGCCAAGATTTCATTTTAAAGATTTGAATTTTGAAATTTGGTTTTATGGTTTTTATGGTTTTGTGTTACTGCCATTTTTATGACACCTCAAACATTTTATGGCAGATTGTAAGTCAAAATTGAGATGTTATGGAAACACATCTCTCAGAATCTGAGATAATTGTGCAAAATACATGTATTGTACACACAACACAACTATACATGAACACACTGAATGAAAGCATCTGGAGTAGCTCAACTCAACTAACACTAGCAGATTGTGTGAGTGTGTCTCACCTGATGCTCATCTGACCCACACAGATCTCCACACACACCTCTAATGATAGGGTAAGTTCATAGTTCAAAGGTCAGAGGTGAGCAAAGGTTCACATCTGTATCTCAGCTGCAGTTCTCTTCTCATCCAGATATAAATGCCACCGTCTCTCTGTCAGCATTTATTTCGACCTGTAATTTAACATGGTGTCAAGTTTGAGATGTTTGATAAGTATCTTTACAGGACCTTGGCTTTTATATCAGAATATACACACTGTATCAAAGAATTATCTGGAGAAGATCAGTTACATTTATGACTGTCTATAAAATCAATGATTGTAAACCTACATTACAGTGAGATGTGTTAGTAACAAAAAAAATATGATCTAAAATCTGTATCGTAAAGTTTTTATGACTTTTCTTTTAGTTTTAGTTGTTTAATTTTGCACTTTTATTTATGTTATTCATTCTTTGTCTTCTGAAGTTTTGTTTTAGAGCCAATTGCACAGAAATATCTTCTTTGGATATATTGCAGTGACAAGGGAAACTATAGAAATAGTTTTTTATAAAGAACTGACTATTCTTGGGACTTTTAAATTTAATAAGCCATACTATGAAACAATATCCTAATTGGAAATTCAGAATACTGTTTGGACTGATGAAAAATAAGAAGAAATTATGATCAAAAGAAATTTTTCAAAAGAAAAACCCAAATTCTTTATAAAACCTCACTCTATTTTATATATATGCATATTTATTATGCATATATAGTTGAGTATGTGGGTATGTGCATTGATGTACATATGTGCATACTTGTCGATGTTTTGTCTTCATTTCACCTCATCGAACAAAATCCTACTCTAGGCTACCTAAGCCACAACCTGCCATTACAGCAGAAGACCATTCTGTTCTACACTGTCTGTCGACTTTAACTGTAGAATAGAGTGGAAACCTATTGCGATTTGTAAAACCGATCTGATGTATATGCCCTAATAAATAAGTTCCTATAGAATGTCCCAAAAATGCATAAATATTTAGTCAAAACGTGTGTTTTTTCTTATTATTTTATTCTGGTTATTTTATGCTGTTTTGATATAGCATTATCAGCTGTCAGTAGAATGTTAATGTCTCCACAGACATCTTTATTAGGTTTTCATTTAAAAAATTTTTAAACGATTTTCAGTCTTATGCCATTTTTTAGATTGCCTATTTCATCTAAAAAGCCATTCATAATTGTTAGAATTAAATATTTTATTAAAAAGTTCTGTATGTGTTCTCATATTGCAGGTGTCTTTGATTAGCTTGGTTGCTAACTCTCTTGGCTACTCGGACTTTGGGGCCATCAAATCTTTAAGGACTCTCAGAGCTCTGAGGCCATTGAGGGCCCTGTCTAGATTCGAAGGAATGCGGGTAAGATGCTCTCTAAATATGTTATAAAACTGATAAAGCATGTCAAGTTTTCAGGGAATCTAGTCAGATTACACCACCCTGCTAGCCTGGCTAACGTCAGACCACGTCTCATTGACACTGAGACGTGGTCTGGGAACCACATGTTCATTTTCTCGTATTTGAGGCGTGGTTTACGAATGCCCAGAGCAGTTTATTGGGTGCTACGAATGTCTATCATATGCGCCTGTACGAAGCTCCTAGCCAATCGTTTCAATTATACCAGATGACGTATGTAGAGCGAGAGCGACAGAAATTAGATGAGGAAGACGACGATGGGTCAGAGATTTATTTGCGTTCTAAACTACTTAGAACAATATCCAAGGCTGCGTGGAAAGGTAACTTCGCGTCTGCTGCCATGTTTGATTCATAGGTATAAACAAACTGCTTCGGTGTGTCGCATAGACGTCGTCATCATCTTGCTGCTCCCTCCCCGTTCTGTGGTTGGTCCCCTCGCTGAGGTGAAAATTTGGTCCATGGTATCCAGAATGCCTAGCAGCGTAAATAAAATCGTGCTGCACAAAGGCATTATGGGGAAAACCAGGCTACCACCCTACATCATATTTGCTGAATGAAATCCAATTCTTGTTTCTTACTAATTTTGGCGTGCTGATTCGTTTTGCTCTAGTGTAACGGAGGCCAGCTAGTAGTTGCTGTGCGAGTAAAAACCTCACTAGGCGCTCTAGCGACAGATGCTAGAGGCTGCAGTCTTTAGCCTCCTTGTTAGAGCGCCTGACTCTCATGCCGGAGACCCGGGTTCGAGGCCCGCTTGGAGCGGGTCGAGTGGGACCCGGGTGGAGGGGTTTCATTGGTGCCGTGACCCGGATGGGAGTGAGGTTTAGGGGGGTGAGTGTAATGGAGGCCAGCTAGTAGTTGCTGTGCGAGTAAAAACCTCACTCCTCTGATCTCAATAGGCGCTAGAGGCTGCAGTCTTTAGCCTCCTTGTTAGAGCGCCTGACTCTCATGCCGGAAACCCGGGTTCGAGGCCCGCTCGGAGCGGGTCGAGTGGGACCCGGGTGGAGGGGTTACACTAGCATGTCATACTTTCTCACAAAATGTGCATTTCATAGCATCTTTGCTTTCAACAACCCTTTGTAAGGTTAAGAAGTCTTGTATCATCCCCTAATCACCAGAAAAACTGCCACAAACACATGATTCCTAGCTTGCTCTGAACCAGGTTAGAATAATTTGTTAAATTCTCAGCCGATTTTCACATGCTTGAAATAATTTATTTATATATTTTATGATTTAAAGTTTAGAACTATGACCGGTGACACGTGGGAATGTAAACATGACCCAGATGTTTTCTGCTACATCTGTGAGTGTTTTACTACATCCAAACAGGAACAGAAAAAAATGTATAAACTTGTGTTTTTGTAAAGTTATATTTGAACATATTTTTTCCACCCCTAATTTAATTGCAAGTTAAATTACACATTTTGAATGCTTCTTTTTGACCTTTGACGGCTTTTATTATTTTGATAAGTGCATTAAAGCTGATAGATATATAGATATCATTTTTAAAAAAAGTTTTATTATTAACTTCTAACTCCGCATTATCAAATTAGGTAATATCAAAGTCCCTTTCCGCCAAATCATTATGGCAAGTTTATTTATATAGCACATTTCATACACTATGGCAATTCAAAGTGCTTTACAGAAAGGAATTAAAATAATTGCAAGGGAAATTAAAACAGTTATAAAAGAAATTAAAAGAGATATGATACAGTTATGAAATGAATTAAAAGAGTAAAAAGATGACACATGGATAAACTTCTCATCTGGCAAAACACCGGTGTATCATATTTTTCACAACTCCCAGTTTTACTCATAGACAGTATAAGAAGTGGACAGAGCCATCTGATTGGAACTCAGTTGAGACAGTTGAAGCCCATTTTTATAGCGATTTTTGAGCACTTCCGTTCCTGACGCGCAGACTCAAATCGACTCAAACTAAGCTTGATGACGTGAGCAACCTGTCTGACAGACGTTAATCTTCTAGTAGCTGTGCGTGAAAATGGCCAACGTTAATCTTGTAGAGACAGGGAACTTGAGCAAAGAGTTCTTTGGCGTGAGTGAACAGGAGTAAGTATTCCTTTGCTTTTATGGACTCATTATCTATGGGCTTCTCCCTTGACGGGACGTCCCCCCGATTGCCTGCGAGCTTCTCCTCCTGTCTGTACGGTAATTTCTGTACAGCGCGACAGAGAGTCGAGTGGTTATGACGCAATCGTTAGCCTATTTTTACAAAAACTGTTTCTACGGGGACATAATGTAACATATAAGGTAATGGAGCCCTTTATACATTGTCGTGTTTCTTTAGAAATAAATAATGGACAAATGGAGTCTTTAAACACCTCAGATGTAAAGTTATTCGCTGTCAAAGTGACGCCAAAATGAACGGGAGTCAATGGAAATGCTAACGCAAGTGAAGTTCTGCTACAAGATGGCGGCACCCGGCCGGCTTCAACTTCCGGTCGATGGATTACCCCCTTGGTTTTACTCTGAGATTTCCCCATGGTGATTACACTGTGTCTGTGGTGTTCTTTTGGCGCGCCTAAGACATCTATTGGACGTCTCCGATGGACCCGATATTCCCCTAAAATCGTACAGGAGGAGCTCTAGGACTGACTCACAGGGTAACCTCGGGTTCACTGCCCCATCGGTCCGCACCCCACAGAACCTCGAGTTTAATTACACATCAAACTCACTCCTCAAACACAGACCCAGGCCATCAGCTTCGTTTCATCTCTCAAGTTTCCCAATTAAGTCATTTATGTCTCTTACCCAATTCTCAGTGCCATTTGAATTTAGTTTAGAATCAAAAGGAGGAAAATAGTGCAATCAAACATCAGCTCAATAGCTCAAATTCTCCAAAGCTGTTCACTAAGATTACCATTACATTTCATATTTGAGATCTCAAATGAAATCTGACAACAACTGTCTCATACAATTGTTTTGTTTCGAAACGCTAACATTTTCAGGCTGGACCAATGCGCATGTAAGCGTGAATAAACGTGCATCTCAGAACACAGACGGATTATACAGACGCAGCTTTATAGTGACACAATAACTTACCAATTGGCGTTACATTTCATATTGAAATGTATTGAAATGTATTGAAACTTACCAATTGGCGTTACATTTGGCTCTTTTATTTAGAACGCGGGATTTATTTCGCCTTATTGCGCATTGCACTTTCTCCCATTCAAAAGAGTGATGCAGGGGTGACGTCAAAACCCGGAAGATTAATTTTCCACTAGTTAACTTGAGATTTTCCTATGGGGTTTAATAATGGGTTTTTTCCATTTATGAGTAAAATAAAGACTGTGGTAAGCATAACTTGACAATACTTGAACGTTTTGTTCTACAATGTAAACGGCACACACTCACACCCAAAACGTTCTTATCTAGTTACCAGTAGCGGAGATAGCTACTGGAGATTACTGTGTGTTACTATTTTTTGTCATTTTCTTTAGTAGAAATGATGGCTGATATGCGATATGAAACCGAAATGTGAGTGAGAAGGCAGAATCGCGACAAACTCCAACTCTAAGCGTTATCCTTCCCATCCAGATCCAATGCTACCACATCTTTAAATTAGGCTACTATTAGTAGGCTATTGTTTGAAGTTACATTATAAAATAGGTAGACATACACTACACCACAAAACTAGTTGAGGATAATTTCTTTAAAATTGGGCAATTCCAGCGTTATGGACGTGACATTTGGTAAAAAACTTGAAATGGAAATTCTCAGAAAATGCATTTAATACCAATATATTGAAACGTCTGTTTATCCTCCTTAATAAAGGAGTCCAGACTCCAGACATTAGAAAAATATCAGTCTACACATGCGTTTTATATTTAATATGAGGGAATTACACGGACGTGACACAAAAAAACTTAAACTTTTAGGTGGCAAAAGTACAAAAAGTAATACCCACCGGATGAAGAAGGGCTGGCTCTCCACAGAACAAAATTTTCATTTTGTCTTATTTTTTGTGTTCGCATTTATAAGGGAAAAACAATGTTACGTGACAGTTCCCCGTTACGAACGTGAGCGCTCTGAAAGCGGCACTGAAAGACTGCTTTAAAATTTTCCCAGAGACATCAAACATAAAGTACAAAGCCATTCATTTTGGTTTTGTATTAATTGTATCTTAATTTTAATCAATGTTTCATCAACCAATTGCCTGGATTTAATAAATAAGAAGTAAATAGGCAATAGCAGACAATAGATAATCACGACACGGAGGCGCCGGAGCGTGAACTGGAGCTCGTCTTGTGAGTCATAAATGAACCGAAACAAACACAGAGTAGGCCTACTTGCCTCACACACCTGATAAATATATCTATAGAAAGCTTGAAATGTGTACTTTTACAGAACAATTCAAAACGAAAGAAAACAGACTGTTCTCTGAAGAGAACGAGATAGCCTTTGTGTTTTATTTAACATATCAACTTACTTGGCTCAACAAGTGACACATTATTACATATGCATTCATCAGATCAGATATTTTACGGTTTTAATTTTAAAATGACTTGGTAGCAGAGGGCTCCATGATGAAGCTCCGCCCCCACTGTACTGAGAGTCTAGCTCCGCCCCTGTTAGTTACGTATTAGAAACATACGCGTTTTAAAATTAAAATAAAAAATTTGCATTTTCGATATTGGTGTGTATCATTTACGTTGTGGAACATCATGTTCAAATAAGTTATGTTTATACCACAGACCTTATTTTACTTAAACCCCCATGTAAATTCTCAAGGCAACCCGTGGCAAATTAATCTTCTGTGTTTTGACGTCATCCCTGCACCACTATAGTAATATGAGTACACCATCTTTGTATATTTAAAGTCTTTGTTAATATTATGCCTTCATTGCTAATCAGCAGACTTTTTCCCAAGAAATCAGTAGTTAAAAGGCTGATTAAATTACATTTACATATCTTGGGCAAAATATGCCTGAATTTGTTATTTAGCAGAAAGATCTGATTACTTTGTTTGAATTGCTTGTGTGATCTAGCAATACAGTATCTGCATGCAGTCACAATATGATTGATTTCTGTATGGCATGATCACAGTCACCGGGATGTTGCCAAGTAAGACATGTTTCTGGAACAACATTCCTGTCTGAAAATCTATTCCTAACCCTACCCATTATCCCTAAAGTCAGAGGGGGAGATGAATTAAACTGATGTAGAAGCACCTAACCCTGGTTGTAAGCCTAAACTTGACATAATCTGTAAACTTGGCCCTAAAATATGATTGGTTGATTGAAATGTTCATGTTGGACTTGGTGAGATCGCATTCACCATGGTATCACGGTGAACGTGATTTCGCCAAGTACAACATGTTCCTGGATCAACTTCTTTGTTGATCCTGGAACAACTTTCCAATCAACCAATCAGATTTGAGGGACAAGTTTAGAGTTTATGTCAAGTTTAGGCTTACAACCAGAGTGAAGTACTTAAACATCAGTGTTATTCACCTATCATTACCCTCTGATTTTAGGGAAAAGTTATGGGTAGGGTTAGGTTTAGGGGTAGGGATTGGGTAAGGATTACATTTTGGGAAAGGAATGTTGATCCAGGATCAACAAAAAAATATGTTGATCCGGGGACATGTCTTACTTGGCAAAATCACGGTGACCTGGTATCACATCCTGATTTCTGTTGTTCAGGTGGTAGTGAATGCACTGATAGGGGCCATCCCGTCCATCATGAACGTACTGCTGGTGTGCCTGATCTTCTGGCTCATATTTAGCATCATGGGAGTCAATCTTTTCGCTGGGAAATTTGGGAAATGCGTCAACAGGACAGGATACATCCACAATGTGACCCTGGTCAACAACAAGACTGATTGCCAGTCCATGAACGACACCCAGTTCTACTGGACCAAAGTGAAAGTTAACTTTGACAACGTGGGACTTGGCTACCTCTCGCTCCTGCAGGTGGTGAGTGTCTTGAAGCTTGTGCACCAGAACTGGCAAACAGGAGCCAGAATTCAATTTCAATTTCAATTTAAGGAAGTGGAATAAAAATGGAATGCTTAGTTTTAAACAATATAAATGACATTTTTAAGCATTATCATACACAAAACATTTGGGGTAGAAATTTTTTTTTACAAGATATTTTAATATTTTATATTAATATTTAATGTCGATATTTATTCCTAAAATAAAAATATCAATACAAATATAATATCCAACAAAGTTTTAAATTATTCATTTGTTTTTATTTTCATGGCTTTGTTTATTGTAAGTGCATGGGAATATTTCAGTTTAGGAAATGTATTTTACACATCAGAGAATAAATTAGCATAATTAGTCCAAATTAATGATTTGATTATTTATGTTTGTCAAAAAACTTGTGTTGGACCTATAAAATGCCTCTGTAATTTGACTGACAAATATCTTTGAATTGCAGTTCAATAAATTCCTCTTCCTGTCGTTCCATTCTGTTGTTGTGGCCAATTCAAATTCAAGGGAGCAAATTCTTGAATTCTAAATTCTGACCTTCCTGAAGAATTTAGTCCCTAAGAATTTAGTGTTCTAAGAATTTAGAACACTTTTGGTGATTGTGCTGTAGAATCATCCTTCATATTTGTTAAGGTAGCCAAGCAACCAGAGTTCGTCAGGGTCCTGCAACTCCTCGATGGACCTTAACTTGTTATTTACCTCTAGGAACAGTCTCTCAAATCACCACAGGTTATAATTTCGGTAACCATGGCAACGACATCCCAAAATGGCCTAGCTTAATAGCGTTCATGCTGACTCTTGGTGAGTCACCCTTTGTCTTTACACAAAAAAAATGAAACGTAAAAGCGTAATTACCTCAGTCTAAAAAAAGTCAAGTTTTGCCACAGTCAGGCATTGAAAGAAATGTGCTCACCTAGAAACAGAACATATATTTGAATACATTGACAATCTTTCTCTTTTAAATGGACATTTTGAATGATTAAATACTTGAGTATTCTGTTTTTTCAGGCAACATTCAAAGGCTGGATGGAAATCATGTATGCCGCCGTAGACTCTCGTGGAGTAAGCATGTTTTTTTCATTACTAAAATGAATGACTTGCATCCAAACGCACAAAACAAGAACCAAGCTACACTAATGTTAAGTGTAATAAAGTGTAATAAAAAAAAATCCTTTTTATATATTTAGTCTTCAACTACAATCTAGTTCTAGAAAAAAGAAAGTCAATTTAAAGAACCTAGAATTTAACAATAACTTTTTTAACCTCCATAGAAACTAATAGTAACTCAATTATCCAATGCAAAAAATAAAAATTCCTTTTGATAAAAACTAAAGAGGGTTTACCTAAGGTGCTGCAAAGAACCATTGAAGAACCTTCATTTTAAGAGTTTAGATTGTCTAAAAAAAACTGTCCTAAGTTTGATGTTTTTCTTGTTCGTCAGGTTGAGGAGCAGCCCGTCAAAGAGATAAACCTCTACATGTACCTCTACTTTGTCATCTTTATCATCTTTGGATCGTTCTTTACCTTGAATTTGTTCATTGGTGTCATCATCGACAACTTCAATCAACAGAAACGAATGATAGGTGTTTAAGATTTACTTCTTTTCCTAAAGCATTTAATGTGTTCCATGAAAATAATAGCAGCTGGTTGTTCTCTGTACTAAAGGTGGCCAGGATATATTCATGACCGAAGAACAGAAGAAGTACTACAACGCGATGAAGAAACTTGGATCCAAAAAGCCACAGAAGCCAATTCCAAGACCAGTGGTAAGAGCATGATTTTGATCAACTAAATCGTATTCGATCTCATAATGAATGCCCTTTCTAATTTCTAACCATAAACACATTTCCATCTAGAACATTCTACAAGGATTCTTCTTTGACTTGGTGTCCAAGCAAGCCTTTGACATCGCCATCATGATGCTCATTATCCTCAACATGATAACCATGATGGTCGAGACCGATGAGCAATCTGCTCGCATGGAGTTCATCCTCAATAACATCAACCTGGCCTTCATCGTCATCTTCACCACCGAATGCCTCATCAAGATTTTTGCCCTCCGCTGTTATTTCTTCACCATTAGTTGGAACATATTTGACTTTGTTGTTGTCATTCTGTCCATCGTTGGTAAGTGCACGACTTTCCAGTCTGGTAAGTGGTAGTGTGGCTGATGTAAGATACGTTCCCTTCTGAAAAGACCAACTTGGTTTATACTAGTTAGTACTCTGGTACTGGCCTATCTGGTTACCATTATGGTGAAGCCAAGGACGTTTTGCTGGTTTAAGATAGTTAAGAAACTTGGCAGAGACACCAGCTTGTCTTTTCAGCAGGGTTGTAGTGATCTGAGATGTTCATAGTGCCCTTTCTCAATTCTTCAAACGATTTTGCATTGCATATGTTGATTTCTGTTCCTCATTTGTCTTTCCAAACAGGAATTGTCCTTGCTGACATAATAGAAAAATACTTTGTGTCCCCAACTTTGTTTCGAGTTATCCGGTTGGCAAGAATAGGAAGAGTTCTCCGACTAATACGAGCAGCTAAAGGAATAAGGACGTTACTTTTTGCCTTAATGATGTCGCTGCCGGCGTTGTTTAACATCGGCCTTCTGCTCTTCCTGGTCATGTTCATCTATGCCATTTTTGGCATGGCAAACTTTGCCTACGTGAAGAAGCAGGGTGGGATTGATGACATGTTCAACTTTGAAACCTTCGGGAACAGCATTATTAGCCTTTTCCAGATCACCACATCGGCCGGTTGGGATAACCTACTGGATCCCATTCTGAACAACTCACCGGAAGAGTGCAGCTCGATTTTCATCAACACTGGAACCAATACTAAGGGCAACTGCGGCAACCCCTCAGTAGGTATCACTTTCTTCGTCAGCTACATCATCATTTCCTTCCTGATCGTGGTCAACATGTACATCGCCATCATTCTGGAAAACTTCAGCGTGGCCACCGAGGAGAGCACAGAACCTCTGAGCGAGGACGACTTTGAGATGTTCTACGAGGTGTGGGAGAAGTTTGACGTCGAGGCCACGCACTTCATCGAGTACTCCAAACTCTCCCGTTTCGCCGACAGCCTTTCGGAACCTCTGAGAATCGCCAAACCCAACAAAATCAAGCTTGTCCACATGGACCTTCCCATGGTCAGCGGCGACAGGATCCACTGCCTGGACATCCTGTTCGCCTTCACCAAGCGGGTCCTCGGGGAAAACGGGGAAATGGACGCTTTGAAGCAGCAAATGGAGGAGAAGTTCATGATGACAAACCCTTCCAAGATGTCCCATGAGCCCATCACCACCACGCTCCGGCGCAAGCAGGAGGAGATTTCGGCAACCCTGATCCAACGCGCCTATAGAGGGCACCTAATTAGACGGCAAATGAAGCAAGCTTCTTACTTGTACAGACACATAAACCAAGACACACTCTGGTCAGAAGAGGACGGCGCTCCAGAGCGTGAAGGACTTATTGCATCTATGATTAAAGAGCACTACGGTCCCGAGAGGGGGCCACCGGTGCGGACGCTATACTTAGCTCCCTCTCCGCCATCCTATGAGGCTGTAACAAAGGGTCCTAGTGACCGTTTCAAGATGTTAATATCTGACTCCAGATCCGGTGAGCCTCATAAATCAGAAGAGACGTATGACGAGACCTTTCTTTAGGAACTCTTTTCTAAGTAGACCATCTTTGCTTGCTTTTTTACTTCGTTTGGATGTGTCTAATCAGGAAGAATCCTAAACCAGATTTCACTTTTTTAATATATAAGAACATCAACAACCTGGACAACCCATGTTGTTTTGTCTAAAAAGATGACATGGCATCATGGTAACCAGACAAAGATACATGGATATATCAAAGTGAGGATGTACATGCTAACCTTTCAGGTAGAGAATGTACTTCAGCTCAGATGTGTTGCACATATCGCAACTGTAATATATTGCACAGACGTTTCCTATAAAGCCTAACAGGCCACATATAGTTTTTTTCCCAGGATTACAGAATCTAAGCAGAGTTTACTGTTGCTCAGGTCAGTAATGTTATGACTTTTTTACACTTGAGGAGAGTGACTGAGATTTAGAGTAACTGGTGCAAGGAAAAGGCCCCTAAAAGCAGTTTGAATGACTAGTTTGCTTCTTACAAAGTGAGTGATTTTTGCATTTTTATCAGTGCTTGAGGAATTTTTTTTTCTTGTTGAACACAGGCAGGGAACTGTTTAAAAAGGGTTTAAAATCAATATGAAATCGAAATTGACTATTTGAGTCATTATGTATTGTGCATGTTTGACACATTATTCCAAAGAATGAACATGTCTATGTAATCTTTCTTCAAGATGTATCAACTTTCCTTTTCAGGATGATGTCATGTATTTTTCAATCTCTTCTCTCCAACTGCTTACCTCCATTTTGATATGCAACGCCCAGTTTTAATGATTCAATCAATTCCCAATGGATTAAAAAAAATCCTGTGTCACTAAGCTCAAAGCAGTCAAATGGATTTCATGTAGACTTAAACTGAAATGAAATGGTTATACAACTATTTTTTTAATACAAAATCTGAATTAGCTAAAATTACCTTCAGCTTCTTGTGTTTTATTCAAGGGCTTTTTTACTGCGGCATTGTCAATATGTGGCACATGGAAATACTTACTAATTACTGGTAACCATGCATGCTGTATGTCGTATGACTGTTATATATGACTGTCGTATGACTGATATTTGCTGATAGAATACACATTTTAATTTTATTCATATACCCTAATCACCGTTTTTCATGCATAAGGAATATGAATTCACATGCATCAAATGAATTTCTGTGACATTTTAAACATTACGTTAACCAATATAATGTACATAAGCAAATGGGAAGAAACGTACAGATGTATCATCAACATGTGCAGGTATATCAATTTCTGTGTTCAACAAGATATTCTACTCCTTTTTTTTTTAATGAAACAAACTTCTCCTTTCCACAAAATGTATTTAATTTTATGGGGCATTTATGAAACATAAAAAACAATAAAAGTTCTCAATGCATTTTACAAAAAATGTTTAGGCTTTAAGAGAATGGCTGATGGATGGATGACTGTCACATATTTCGATCTAACTTTGTATGTTACACACTCGCTCTTCTGCTGTGAATCACATAAATTGGGAATTAATTGAATGCCAATAATTAGTTTATCAGCAAAGATTTTCTCTCTTCTCAAACATCAAAGAGCTGGGTCTGTAAGAAGATATTGTCTGTCTTTGTTCCCAGTAAAGAAAGACTGGTCAAAATGATGTTTAACATTCAAAAACAGGTGCTTCATACTCAACAGCGGGGCAGTTTTTGTTGATTTGGTAACAGTATGCATAGATTCGTGCTCTGGGCTCTTGGTTAGGGAGCCAATTTGGCTGCGTCCCCTGGGAGTTTGCCCTTTCTCCAGCCCAGGGCGAGGGTGTTCAAATCCTCCACAGACCAGCTGGACCTCCAGGATAATCCCAGCAGAAAATAATCACTTGTTTTAATTACACACAAATGCACTCATACTTTAGTTCGCTCTCTGTCACACAGTCACAGACCTTAAAACTGATAACTTTTAGAAACACAAATGTGGTTGCCTTTCCCATTTGGAAATATGAGCGCTTGGTATTTCTTTTCAAAGATTTAAAACATTTTATCAATCTAATAGTCTTCAAGTGCTAATGAATTGCATGATGCTGGCTAAAGAATGGTCAATTCAAAGCTAAATTCCTTTTAAAAAGTAATAATTTTGAACTGTGATGGACGGAAAATCTTGAACCAAAATGGTAGATTTGGAATTGCCAAGTCGTTCTATTATGTAGTTTGATTTAATTGTCTAACACTCAACTACTCTAGCTGTATATTTTTACAACTTTGTCCAGTTATTTTCTGAACATGCTTTAATTTTAATTCTTTGTGTCTCTCTTTAAAGAAATCCACTTTAATGAATGTGCCTGCGTAACTGATCTGATGTTTAAACATCTGAACATGTGGCTGGGATTAAGCTCAACTAAAGGAAACCCATTATTAAAGATTAAAATGCACTATAACTAATTACATACACACGCACATGCACATCTAAATTAACAAAAAAAAGTGACTTTGAACATAAAATAAAACAGAAAGTGTTTTGTTATTTTTTATTTAGACAGCAAAAGAACGCAATCAGTGAGTAAATGTGATTGGATTAGTACCAGAGGAATGACTGATGAAGATCATTATTTGTTCACTCCCTGGATTTAAGGATGTGAACACTCTTAATCAGGATGTGTGCATTACCGTCGCCATGGCCACCATGGAAAAGCTCCGCTTCATTGGTCTAGCCTTCTGATTAAGTTATAACAATAGACTAAAAATGTATAATTGAAACTACATGTAACAAGTCAAAACCTGTATGAAAAGGTACTATTGATAATATATGCACATTCGTGTTCACAAAATTCAATTAATTGATGAAGTCACTAACTGTAAATACATTCATGATGTGTATTTGAGTACTGTGTGTGTCTGTGTGTGTGTGTACACGTACTCAATTCACATCATAAATGTTTGTATATGAATATACACTCACCGGCCACTTTATTAGGTACCCCATGCTAGTAACGGGTTGGACCCCCTTTTGCCTTCAGAACTGCCTCAATTCTTCGTGGCATAGATTCAACAAGGTGCTGGAAGCATTCCTCAGGGAGTTTGGTCCATATTGACATGATGGCATCACACAGTTGCCGCAGATTTGTCGGCTGCACATCCATGATGCGAATTTCCCGTTCCACCACATCCCAAAGATGCTCTATTGGGTTGAGATCTGGTGACTGTGGAGGCCATTTTAGTACAGTGAACTCATTGTCATGTTCAAGAAACCAATTTGAAATGATTAGAGCTTTGTGACATGGTGGAAGTAGCCATCAGAGGATGGGTACATGGTGGCCATAAAGGGATGGACATGGTCAGAAACAATGCTCAGGTAGGCCGTGGCATTTAAACGATGCCCAATTGGCACTAAGGGGCCTAAAGTGTGCCAGGAAAACATCCCCCACACCATTACACCACCACCACCAGCCTGCACAGTGGTAACAAGGCATGATGGTTCCATGTTCTCATTCTGTTTACGCCAAATTCTGACTCTAACATCTGAATGTCTCAACAGAAATCGAGACTCATCAGACCAGGCAACATTTTTCCAGTCTTCAACTGTTCAATTTTGGTGAGCTCTTGCAAATTGTAGCCTCTTTTTCCTATTTGTAGTGGAGATGAGTGGTACCCGGTGGGGTCTTCTGCTGTTGTAGCCCATCCGCCTCAAGGTTGTGCGTGTTGTGGCTTCACAAATGCTTTGCTGCATACCTCGGTTGTAACGAGTGGTTATTTCAGTCACTGTTGCCCTTCTATCAGCTCGAACCAGTCTGGCCATTCTCCTCTGACCTCTGGCATCAACAAGGCATTTCCGCCCACAGAACTGCCGCTCACTGGATGTTTTTTCTTTTTCGGACCATTCTCTGTAAACCCTAGAGATGGTTGTGCGTGAAAATCCCAGTAGATTAGCAGTTTCTGAAATACTCAGACCAGCCCTTCTGGCACCAACAATCATGCCACGTTCAAAGTCACTCAAATCACCTTTCTTCCCCATACTGATGCTCGGTTTGAACTGCAGGAGATTGTCTTGACCATGTCTACATGCCTAAATGCACTGAGTTGCCGCCATGTGATTGGCTGCTTAGAAATTAAGTGTTAACGAGCAGTTGGACAGGTGTACCTAATAAAGTGGCCGGTGAGTGTATATATATATATAATATTTTTTATTATACATATATATTCATTAAATACACATGGATGTTTGTGTGTATGTATATATATATATATATATATATATATATATATTCATATTTAATAATAACAACAACAACTCAGTAAAGCCGGGTTAAACTCCTGAGCCATTAGGAAAAGATAACAATCCTAAAGACTGCAAAATCTGCATGCGTGTGTTTGTGAAAAAAACAGGCTGACACTGAGACATAAAGTGCATGACATCTACAGTAAAGCACATTTGTGACCTTTGACCTCATGAAAATACCCCCAAAAATGTGTATCATCGTATCGTCTCTTGCAGTTTTGATATCTCTGATAAGACTTTTGGGAGATATGAATACGAATATTTGAATGTTAAGGAATAGTTTGGTCAATTCAGTCATCATTTACTCATTCACTCATTTGTGGGAATGTGTGGGTTCAAACTAATCCTTAAACAGTTGGATGAATTAATAAATGTTCATATGATGACATCATGGAACACTACAATGGAAATATGATTCCAGTTCTTGAAATACACAAGCAAATGTGTACAGCACCACCTTCTGAGAAACAAAAAAATCATAATATGATCATAATAATCCGCCATAGAAAAAAAAAATGCAATTAACGCCGTCCATCTGTTGGGGCAGCGAGGGCTTAGAAAGGTTTGGAGAAATCCTGACCCGGAGGGAAGCTCTGCTTATTTCCACTAAACTGAAAAAGAGACTTTTCCTGAAAAAGGCTTTTTTTTTTTTTTTTTTGCTGTTGTTCTTTTTAATGCATTTCCTTTGCCATTATTTAATCTTGAATAGAGTCAGCATGTCATGACCACGGAATAAAACGTCTCATGACCCTGACATTAAAATCTGCTGAAATGATTCCACACTGCATTAATATTACAACATTCATTTTGCATTATTATACAACTTAATTTGCATATTATTACATTGCAACTTGTCAGATATCATATATAGCTACAATCTAACTTGTCTCGCTCTATTCAAGTGTCTCTTACCGGTTAGTTGTTCATCTGAGGGATGCTTCAGTTGAGCTTCTGTCCGTTGTTTCTCACATGTTGTAATCGAAAACATCAAGCTAGTCTAAGTACTTGTAACAGAGAGAGTTTGCTTGAACAAAGACTTCACTTTTGGTCTGTTTCTAACACAAAGTCATTAAGACTTAGACGTAGTGCACAAGACATGCTACTTTTAAAGATCTTTTGAAATGGTTTGACGAACGCAGCTGTGTTTCCAGTGTTGAAGTGTTTCCTATTCAAACAGGAAGTTGAGGCGGGGCATATTAAAGGTCTTGTTTTTTGTTTTGTTTTTTTCAATTAGCCAATGGCCTTTATTTTATGTTAAAGCCGTAAACTATGAAAAATGAAGGCTTGAAGGCAAGACTGCAACCTTAACTGAAAAAAAGCGTAATGCCTGTTAATGGTGTGCAGGGAAGGAGACCAGAGGCCGTTTTTTTAAAGGATGTCAATGAAGGAGAGGCTTCATTACACTGAATAAACCGCTTTTGTGAGGACTTGGCGTATCATTTAATGAATCGCCAATCGGTTAATCTTCAATGTTTGCTCTTAAAGGTGCATTTCGTAACATTTCATGTTAAAAATACCCGTTTTTCTTACCCACACATGCTTAAACAATTGCCTGATGGGCTGAATGAGCCCTTCTCTGATCACTGCGATTGCCTCTATAATCCAGTAAAATAAATAAGAGGGATTCGGGACGGAATTTGAGACTGGGCGTGACGTCGTGCGCGGCGTTCACGCTCACCTGGCTGTGTCTCGCAGGTTTGTGTATTCGCCGCCATTCTCC